GATGTGACTATAGAAGATCCCCTAGAACCACAAAACATTGAAGAAAGATGGCAGAGCTTAAAACAGACAATCACAAAAACAGCAGCAAAAACTCTAGGCCATAAAAACATTACAGCAAAAAAGGACTGGATTACAGCCGAAATTGTGAACTTGATAGAGGAAAGAAGAAAATATAAAAATTTGAACAGTAACGAAGGACAGAAAATGTATGGAGCATTGAGGAATCTAGTTATTAGGAAATCAAAAGAAGCAATAATACATAAGGGAACAGCAGAGAAGAGACCTGGTATAGGAGGAGTAGGATTGATAGTGAATAAAAAACTAAGAAAAAAGTTAAAGGCTACGTACAATACAACGAAAGAATCATTCTAGTCAGATTTCAGACGAAACCAAAGGACACAATAGTAGCTCAGGTGTATATGCCAACAACAAATAGTAGCGAGGAAAAGCTAGAAGAAGTATATGAAAATTTAGACAAATTAATAGAAAATGTCAAAGGAGAGGAAAATCTGATAGTAGGGCATTCCAGTAGGGTGACTGGAATGCCATTGTTGGGGAAGAAAAAGTAAAAAATCTAACAGGTGACTATGGTTTAGGAAACCGGAACGATAGAGGGGATCGGTTACTAGAATTTTATGCAAAACATAAATTCATAATCACAAACACTTGTTTTAACCATCATAAGAGAAGAAGATACACCTGGAAAATGCCTGGAGACATTAATAGGTATCAAATTGATTACATCATGGTAAAAAATAGATTTAGGAATCAAGTAAAAGAAAGTAGAAGTTACCCAGGTGTGGACATAAATAGCGATCACAACCTTGTTATGATGAAGTGTAATCTTAAATTCAAAAAAATAACATGTAAGAAGAAAATGGTACAATGGCAAGTTAAAATCTAAGAGATGAAAAATCAAAGAAACAATACAGTGAATGCACAAATGATGTGACTATAGAAGATCCCCTAGAACCACAAAACATTGAAGAAAGATGGCAGAGCTTAAAACAGACAATCACAAAAACAGCAGCAAAAACTCTAGGCCATAAAAACATTACAGCAACAAAGGACTGGATTACAGCCGAAATTGTGAACTTGATAGAGGAAAGAAGAAAATATAAAAATTTGAACAGTAACGAAGGACAGAAAATGTATGGAGCATTGAGGAATCTAGTTATTAGGAAATCAAAAGAAGCAATAATACATAAGGGAACAGCAGAGAAGAGACCTGGTATAGGAGGAGTAGGATTGATAGTGAATAAAAAACTAAGAAAAAAGTTAAAGGCTACGTACAATACAACGAAAGAATCATTCTAGTCAGATTTCAGACGAAACCAAAGGACACAATAGTAGCTCAGGTGTATATGCCAACAACAAATAGTAGCGAGGAAAAGCTAGAAGAAGTATATGAAAATTTAGACAAATTAATAGAAAATGTCAAAGGAGAGGAAAATCTGATAGTAGGGCATTCCAGTAGGGTGACTGGAATGCCATTGTTGGGGAAGAAAAAGTAAAAAATCTAACAGGTGACTATGGTTTAGGAAACCGGAACGATAGAGGGGATCGGTTACTAGAATTTTATGCAAAACATAAATTCATAATCACAAACACTTGTTTTAACCATCATAAGAGAAGAAGATACACCTGGAAAATGCCTGGAGACATTAATAGGTATCAAATTGATTACATCATGGTAAAAAATAGATTTAGGAATCAAGTAAAAGAAAGTAGAAGTTACCCAGGTGTGGACATAAATAGCGATCACAACCTTGTTATGATGAAGTGTAATCTTAAATTCAAAAAAATAACATGTAAGAAGAAAATGGTACAATGGCAAGTTAAAATCTAAGAGATGAAAAATCAAAGAAACAATACAGTGAATGCACAAATGATGTGACTATAGAAGATCCCCTAGAACCACAAAACATTGAAGAAAGATGGCAGAGCTTAAAACAGACAATCACAAAAACAGCAGCAAAAACTCTAGGCCATAAAAACATTACAGCAACAAAGGACTGGATTACAGCCGAAATTGTGAACTTGATAGAGGAAAGAAGAAAATATAAAAATTTGAACAGTAACGAAGGACAGAAAATGTATGGAGCATTGAGGAATCTAGTTATTAGGAAATCAAAAGAAGCAATAATACATAAGGGAACAGCAGAGAAGAGACCTGGTATAGGAGGAGTAGGATTGATAGTGAATAAAAAACTAAGAAAAAAGTTAAAGGCTACGTACAATACAACGAAAGAATCATTCTAGTCAGATTTCAGACGAAACCAAAGGACACAATAGTAGCTCAGGTGTATATGCCAACAACAAATAGTAGCGAGGAAAAGCTAGAAGAAGTATATGAAAATTTAGACAAATTAATAGAAAATGTCAAAGGAGAGGAAAATCTGATAGTAGGGCATTCCAGTAGGGTGACTGGAATGCCATTGTTGGGGAAGAAAAAGTAAAAAATCTAACAGGTGACTATGGTTTAGGAAACCGGAACGATAGAGGGGATCGGTTACTAGAATTTTATGCAAAACATAAATTCATAATCACAAACACTTGTTTTAACCATCATAAGAGAAGAAGATACACCTGGAAAATGCCTGGAGACATTAATAGGTATCAAATTGATTACATCATGGTAAAAAATAGATTTAGGAATCAAGTAAAAGAAAGTAGAAGTTACCCAGGTGTGGACATAAATAGCGATCACAACCTTGTTATGATGAAGTGTAATCTTAAATTCAAAAAAATAACATGTAAGAAGAAAATGGTACAATGGCAAGTTAAAATCTAAGAGATGAAAAATCAAAGAAACAATACAGTGAATGCACAAATGATGTGACTATAGAAGATCCCCTAGAACCACAAAACATTGAAGAAAGATGGCAGAGCTTAAAACAGACAATCACAAAAACAGCAGCAAAAACTCTAGGCCATAAAAACATTACAGCAACAAAGGACTGGATTACAGCCGAAATTGTGAACTTGATAGAGGAAAGAAGAAAATATAAAAATTTGAACAGTAACGAAGGACAGAAAATGTATGGAGCATTGAGGAATCTAGTTATTAGGAAATCAAAAGAAGCAAAAGAAAAGAACCTGGAAGAAAATTGTAGTGTTATTGAAACACTTATGAAAACAGGAAGAAGAGAAGAAGCATATAAAATGGTGAAAAAGATCTTTGGCCAGTATAATCCCAGAGCCGGAGGAATAGAAGATAATAATGGGAAAATGTTGTGGGAACAAAAAGATATTGTCAAAAGATGGAAAGAATATTTAGAAATATTGTATGAGGGAGAAACACTTAAGGAAATCGAATCAAACGGAGAAGAAGAGTATGAAAAGGATCCAGTCATGAGGGAGGAATTCGATAAAGCACTGAAGAATCTGAAGAACAAAAAAGCAGCGGGAATTGATGGAATACAAGCGGAGATTTGGAAGGAAGCAGGAGAGGAAAACTTTAAAAACAGACTGTTCCAAATCATCAGAGATATATACGCGACTGGCAAAATGCCAGAGGATTACATAAAAAGCATAATTATCCCCATCCCAACGAAAGCAGCAGCAAAGAAATGTGAGGAATTCCGTACCATTAGCCTCCTATCACATGCATCAAAAATACGAACAAAGATTATATTCCAACGTATTGTATCCAAGATAGAACAATCATTGACGGAGTACCAATTCGGTTTCAGAAAAAATAGTGGAACGAGAGAAGCAATACTGGCACTGAGAATTATTATCCAGAAAAAAAATAGTATTGAAAAATAGTATTAATTTATTAGCTTTGACCTATTCAATGTATATAATATTGTGGCACTCACATAATATGACAACAAATTATAATTAAAAAAAGATTTAAGTAACCAGTTAATCGTAATAGAAACTTAAAACTGATTAAATTAGCTATTACAAACGATTGTTTTTGTGAAATGTTGTTACTATTATATGTATATTCATAAAAAAAACAGCTATTGAAATCAACTTTTCAAAAAAGTTAAACAAATTAAACGGGGTCAGTACCTGCTTTCAAGGATGCTTATTACCTCGCCTAACGTCAGTTTATACTATTCAGTGTACATAACCACACATATTCACTCTATTCATAACACACGACTTACAAAATCTTTAGTTTGCTATCACAGTTTAAAATATTTATATTAAGAACAAAACAAAAAAAAGTGCAGGTAATTTTTTAAAAAAAATTGTTTTTTGTAATATAAATAAAAATAAATTTATTTTATTCATTTTCAGCATCATGTTAACTAAGAAAATAAATTCAAAAATCTAAACAAATATAATAGAAAAACAGCTCATTGCAGACTACGCTTTCTTACACAGAAAGTGAGGTATTGAGCTTTTCAATATAAATTATTCACCTTCTATAATCAGACAAACATTCATTGACACTCACGAGCATCAGGACACGAATTTCATTTAACGAAGAATGTGATGTAGCTTTTAAAACATCAAATGTTAGCGTATATGCACAATCAAATTTTAATAGAATATTTAATGTTCAATTTATAAAATTAATTACTGAGAAGAATGAGTTTAGTTTACGCGGATCTGGTTGGAGTCTAAAAAGTATTGACGGTATTCAATTAAGAACGAATAAAGTAAATATCTTTAAAGAGTCTAGTTTTATAGAACTACCACCATTTTTAAGAGATAAAAAGGCTTTGATAAATGTTAAAAACACTGACGAAAAATGTTTTAAATACTCAATTTTAAGTAAACTTGATACAAGAGTTAATAAAAGTAAATTTAGTCAAAAATATTTTAATAGTTTAGAAAAATAAGTGGATTAAATTTTAAATGTTTTAATTTCCCCACTCCACTTAATCAAATAAAAAAAGGTGCTCTGCTGTACGGTAGGTTACAAGTGGGTCACTGTATAATAGATGGTATTAAATTTGAATTCGTTACAAGTGGTTCCAGGGTCAAGAAGTGACCCGCCGTGAGGGTCCTGTAGTCGCTTGGATCCGCTGACGTAGAACTTAAAAAGACTTAGGTCTTGAATTTAGCGTAGCTTCCACTTGGTGGAGTACTGTGTTTAGTTCTTCGTATGTAAGAACGGTGTTCTGGATAACACGATGTAAAAGTGAATTTGTCGATTTTACGGCCGCCTCCCATATCCCTCCCATGTGTGGCGCCGAATGTGGGTTAAAATGCCATCGAATTTGATGTTCAAGAACGTTATTGGTAAAATCTGCACCCTGGATTATAGTCTCTACCTCCGTTAAGTATCGATGGGTTCTCACCAAATTGGTGCCACAGTCACTATAGATATCCGTGCACCGGCCCTTCCGGCTGATGAAGCGGTTCAGACCACCGATGAAAAGAGGGGTCGATAAATCGGAAACGATTTCGATATGAACTGTGGTAGTGACCATGCAGACGAATATACATATATAGGCTTTGGTTATTTTGATCTTGCGTATCATGGCTGCTTTAAAGTCAAAAGGGCCCGCAAAATCCACGCCGACCTTACTGAATGGCTTTACTTGATTTAGACGGAAATGAGGTAGATTGCCCATTAATAGCTGTCAAAAGGCTTCTCACGAAAACCGTGGCACTCATCTGTGTACTCTCTTTTTAATAATACTACGAGACGAAAGTATCCAGTAGTTCTGGCGTAATAGATTTGGCATCGTTTGTGGTCCGGGGTGACCTTTGGTACGGTGGACGTGGTAGATTAATAGCTCAGTCAATCGAGCAGTTTTTGGCAAGAGAAGAGAATGTTTTTCAGTGTATGGTATAAGTGCATGCTCTAAGCAACCTCCCAAACTGAGAAGATCCTTGTTGTCCAAGAAGGGGGCGAGCCTTCGCAGATGAACCTGACCACTTTTACCGGCACTAAGAGCTTTTTTGGCGTTTGCAAAGAAAGCCTGTTGTGTCCAACTTATCAAGGATCGTAGCGCTCTGTCGGTCTCCTCTGTTGTCGGTGGCGACGTCCAATGTGGAATGGTTTTCTTTCTTAGCCGGTCAACTATCCTCAGTAGGTACGCTGTGAGTCTTAGCACTTTGGATAAGTTATCTGATTGCCGCAGTACACGGCATTCATCGTCGACAACTTGGGTGAGCAGGGGGATCCGCTTCTGCTCAAATTCTTCCTCTTGACAACTAGCGGGACACCTTGTGCCCTCCACAGCCCAAGTATTCTCAGGTTGACGTAGGAATGTTTGACCCTTCCATCAACGTAGTTGATGAGACGAGCAAGTAGCCACGCGCCGCACAACTCCAACCGTGGGACAGAAACCTTTGAAGCTGGGGCTATCTTCGACTTTCCCATCAGTAGGTGACAATTGGTTTGGCTTTTTGAAGTTACAGTGTTACACGTATGTATACGACTGCTGCGTACACTGCCTCTGAGCTGTCACTAAATCCGTGCAACTCATACGACGCACGAGTATGTGTAAAAATACGAGGAATTTTTAACGTGGCCAATACGGGCAATTCCTGATGAAATTTGTTCCACGCTGTCGCCGCTTCGTCCGGGATGGGTTCATCCCAACCAGAGATATTTCATGAGTCTCTTGAGGTCTGTGGAATTAGGACGTCCACGTTAAATTGCGGGTTTTCTTGATCGACAGGACGTATAATTATGTTGGCGCTTCCTTTTACCACAGGAACACGTGTCCCAGACAGAGCCTGTACCATAACGTCACATTTTTTTATGACCAACTGCAATAGATAAGCACAACGCTCAGTTATAAAGCTACTTTGACTGGCGCTGTCTAATAGTGCTCGTACGGTGACGTGGTTTCCTTCTTCATTCTGAATCACCACATTGCTAACAAAACTGAGGCATGTGGGTATCTGGTAGACGACGCAGCCACTGTGACATGTGCAGAAGTGAAAACCTGCTCGTGGTCACCGAAATGAAGTAAGGTATGGTGTCTTGCACTACACTCTGAGAACTTTTTTGGGTTCATATATTCACTCGCCATGTGCGCGCTGAAGCAGTTAAAACAACATTTCAGATCTTTAATTATTTGATAACATTCGGTTGGTGTCATTTTTCTGAATAATGGACAGTGTATTAACAAATGGCCTGGATGACTATTGCATACATGACACGTGTACGTCCTCTTCTCTGGTTGATTAGTGCTAGTTTTCTTCGGTGCAAAGGTGTGTCGTTGTTCTGTGCAATCAACGTACATCACCCCAGCACCACCCATTTCAAATTTTTGAAAATTTCGTTTACCATTATTTAGTACGTAATTGTATGAATTTGTATGATAATTTTCAAAATGTGTACGTTATCGGTTTACCCGTTATTAACAAAAATAATGGGTGGATCTGGGTGATGTGATTTCAGCCCCACCTAAGGTTAAAAATTATAAAATAATGGTCACAACTACACCAATTTTTAGTACGTAATTTGTATGAATTTGTACGACCGTTTTTAAAACTTCTACGATCTTCGTTCGGCGTCAATCACAAATACTTAAAAAACACCGTTACCCCAACCCCACCCCTCGTCTGAATTTTAGTGTTTTCGAATTTATTCAAGTGCCATATTTTAGTACGTCATTTGTACGACCGTTTTTAAAATTGTTCTCTGTTTTATTTTTAGTGCATTCCATTCAGATTTGAAATAGTCATATAATATAATTTTATATTTTATAACTATTAACTAATTTTTAAACTTATAATATATATTTTACAATCTACGTTGATGCTCAAATTTAGTTATATCATTGATCACATCTGTGACGATTACCTTCAACATACTAGTGTCATTATGACACGCTTCTAGGCTAAAAATAAAAATAGTGATCAATAATGAAACAATTATTATGTAATAAGTTTATTAGTCTTTTAAATGTAAATGTTTTTCAAACCACTGTGCGATAGACAATAGTTCATTATTAATAATTTATAATGGTACAAATAAATTAACCCAACTTACGGGATACCTGGAGGAGAGGTAATGATGGTTATATTCTCTACATCGTGATTATTATCTATGTGTACATAACACGTGTTATGAGCATTTTTAAATATTAATACCTTACATTTTCTTAACTCGCTTAAAATTTAAATATCGTAAAAAGCACACCAGAGAACACAGATAATGTTGTAAAAAGTTTGATAATAGGTCAATTCACTCTATTATCAAAACTGATGATATCCTATTAAAAGTAGTGAACATAAATTTGGTATGCAGTACCTACGTGTGTAAGACGGTGAAAAACTGACAACATAATATGCTGGTGTGACGTCCTCTTTATAATTATGGTGATTGTAGGGTATTTTGATGATTTGAAGGACCAGCTCGATAGAATAAATTTGTAGCGATTGTATCTACCGAACAGATTGACGGCGTCAAGGATAGGCAACCAAAGTTGCATGTACGATTAACGTTGTTAGAGGTGACAAGACGACGACGCCTACTCCCAAGATATACGTAATCCAACACACAGCTAAACGGATTGATGGTGGCTGGCAATGACGCGACGATGGACAACAAGGAACCAGAACGCACCGCAACGCGAAGGTGTGAAGGATACAGGTTATACAATGGGAAATAGGATTATGCAATTTACGTATAAGCGGGGGTCTCTCTGTGCTCGGATCGGTCTGGTGCAATGACCACAGAGCTCACAATAAGTGGAGATAATCTTACAACTAACTTATGCTACGGAAGTATATGCAGTTGTCACGATATCCACTGATGCCCCAGAATGTCCACGCATCAATGATTGAGGTGGAGGTATAAGATTGGTCGATCCACAGCGTATTGCATCTGGACGACCTGGGCGGCCACTCACACAACACACAATGATTGCTGGCGGGCTTACGCAAGTGACGAGTGATGCCAAGAATAACGCGGATGATAGTGTAATGATCACCGTACGTTCGATTCTTATTGGCGATAGTCAGTTCGGATTCTCTAACAAAGAGGTAGATATTACAAAAGGAACCAAATGAATGAGTACTCACCGATTTTGAACGAAATATTATGATTTATTGATATCCGTTATGTAAATGATCTGCAGACTCAGTCTCCGCGAAATCAGATAAGGTTACAAAGATTATTGTGTCATTTGACTGATGACAACAATGAGAAAAGATAGAACGTGTATGTACATTGTACACAATTAATAATAAAAAAGATCGGGAGCTGCTGTAATAGCGAGCGTCGCCAGTACACACCACACAGTACTACGTATTATAATATTACGATTTCTGTTGGTTATGTTGACACAACGTAAAAAAAACTAGAGAATAGAAAAATATAAAACAATATGGCGGTGTTTACATTGATTGAGCAAAGACATTATAAATACGTTTTGTATGGAGTGGATCGAGTATGACGTAATGAATAGGAAGAGACGGGAAGAGCGGGGATAAAAGAGTTGCCCATTGTGCGTGCTGTACGCTGTCGCTGTTGTAGATATAATGACAGAAATGCTGACGCCAGCAGCATGAACAGTGATATACTACAATATGCACTGAAACAATTTTTAGAATTCTTATTATTTAATTCTCAATTCGTATTCCTATTAGAATATTTGAAAATGATTTTTCAACTTTTTCATAATTTTTACTGTTCCTTTAATTAGTAATTACTATAGAACTTCTATAATAATAATTATAGAAGGTACCTTCGTAATATATATTATAAATTGTGCACACTGTTTAATATTAATTTCTGTAGTGTGTAATTTATTGCGGTCATTATTATGGTAAGTTACATTCTGCATAAATATATTATAGAATATTATTTTCCCGAAATAACTAATTCCACTAATATACCTACTATAATTATGAATCATATTGTATAAATGTATAATACCTATATTATATTTTATATTGACATTGATATTACTAATAAAATTACATTTTTGAAAAATCAGATCAAAATATCAAATAGGACCAACATGTAACCTTACTGATTTTTTTTATTCAATAGACATTTTTTATGCAACTGCTTTTTTTTTTATGTAAATTCCACTTTTTATAAAACTAGGTTTTTTTTATTCTATTCTGTTTGCGCCATGCCATTAGCTTATCAAAGACACGGCACTGCGCGATGGCGTCTTTCCTTGCATATCCAAACACCACTCGGTCCATAATTTATTGTATTATTATTATTCAAAATTATTATGTTTATTTATTATCTTTGTTATTATTTTTCGTGTGAATAATTATTGGTCATCTGTTACCACATAATATTATCAACTACTCGTATCATTAGTGTTATGATTATATTATTTACCGTTGCGGCCAACGCCCTTGTTTACTTTTTGTTTAGCGCTGCTGCGACCATTCTATATGTTTGTTGTTGGTCCCCGCTATTGCAGCGGGTTTTCGTTTGGTTGTTCTATTTCTTCTGTAACGTGCTAATTATTACATTAAAGTTGCATTGAGCGTAAGTTTTTTTTTGTTTATATTATCTAAACTCATTGTCGCGCATTGAGCGCATTTCCTATCGCGCATTGAGCGCAGAGACACTCGTATCCAGTACCCGGGCTCCATGCAGCTTTCCCGGAATACGGTCACCGCGTAAGTCCGACAGCAACGGGTCTGTTGTGTGCGAGGCCGCCAAGGTTTTCGAGACCATCGTCGTCGTCGCAGTAGTCAGCTCAAGCCGCCAGCTGTATATATATATATTATGTATATATATATACCTAGTATAATTTAGTCAGTAAGCTCCCCACTATTATAATTGTACCCTGTGGTCATTGCACCAAACCGAATCGACCACAGGGCCCCTGATCCGCATAAATAACCTGTATTGTCCTGATTTCCATATGTACGTCACCTCCCATCCTCGCCATAGTGTTGTCGTCGCGTGAAAATTCAAGTGTGTGCGTAGAGTCGCCTATCCCGCCAACTAGTAGGCGTCAAGATTAATGCAACATCTCGGTAGTCCCTTCTCGGTTCTTACCGAGTGGTTTTCTTTCTGCACCCCCTCAGTATTGCCTTCAATATGATAGTCTTATATTATTTGAATTCAATATTTTACAAGTACAAGTAAAAACTAAAAATACTTACTTTTAGCAATGGACGAACAGTGTCTAAAGTTCCCAAATTACTTATAATCAATTTATTATGCTTTAAATGTTTATTTGATTATTTTTCCGTGCCTGTATGTACAGTCGAAGATGATTCAAATAATGTAGAATCAATTATTTGCTCAATATCGGCGGTCGGAACATTATTTTTTTTGAAATTAAATAAGTCAAATACATTTTTGGACATATTTAAAAAAATATCGAACAAAGAAAAACGAAACGACACTTAACAGTAAATACGGTGCAATGGGCGATGGTTGAATGG